GTGCAATCAACCTGTCTCTGTGGACACTCTTGTCCCTAGAATCCAGAGAGATCACTGCTTTTTAAAAATCTCACTATGGGGTTTCCACCTGCAGAGAAATAAACTGAGCTGCTCCCCTCGCCTCTGAAAAAAAATACATTTCTTTGGGAGAATGTGGAATTGTTTTTTAGCATTATCTTTTTCTTTAATATGTTACCTCACAATAATAAACACACTGACAATTAAAGAAAGAAGGAAAACCTCACTATCTGGTTTTAGAGTTCAGTCTTTCTTTACCGAGGCAGGAGGGGGAGAGAGGGAGGGAGGGAAGGAGAGAAAGAGGGAGGGAGGGAGGGAGGAAGGGAGAGAGGAAAGGAGGGAGAGAGAGGGAGAGAGAGAGAGGAGAGAAAGATCACACACACACACACACACACACACACACACACACACACACACACACACACACCTACCTAGCATAGCACGAAAGGGGTGGGTGTGAAGTGGTCTCTTTGAAAACGGGTAGGGCAAGAAGGCAGGTGGACTCCGCAGTGGTCAGCAGAGCTGGAGTTGAAGGTCCAGAACTTAGGTTTTGCAAAGCTCAGAACAGGAAGAAGAACGTTTGGGCTTGACTCTGGGAAGGCTTCTCTCAGGAGATTTTAGAGGGTTTGAAACATGCCCACAGGTTGGGAAAGGCAGCCAAGGTGAGCAACGAGCGGGTTTAACTGTCCGAAATTCCTGGATGAGTGCCAAAGAAGTGTATGGGGGTGGGGTGGGAAGAGAGCGATTTGGACTCAGCCTAGGGTTCAGTTCCTGACTTGGCGTGGATGAGATGCTCCTCCAGAGGTCGCTGTTCCCCAGGAATCCATCCATAGCTTCTGACGCCCGGGCTGCGGCTAGTTCGTCATTCAGCTTCCCTGAGGTTTAAGAGGCTCCGTCTGCACCCCACAAGCCTGGGAATTCTGCCCTATTTCCCCGCTCATGCGAGGACCTGCTGCTTCACCAGTCACTAGCGAAGGTGAAATGTAACGACGCATAGGGGAACTGAGTCCCACAGTTCCCTTCGGCCCTGCCCCAGTTTAGGACGCCAGAAGAGCATTTCTTTCCCAGAGTGCAGCTGTTCTAGACACAGTGCGCAACTGGTACGAAGGAGGTCGCGGCGGGTGCCCACGAGGCTCCCTGGAAGCACCGTGGCTTTGTCTCCAGACTCCCGGAGTCCCTCCCTAGATCTACATGCCGGCATACAGCCCTCCCCTCCGAGGGAGGTCGAGTTCCAGACCAGGTCTCTGCTCCCTCTCGGGTTCTAGAGGGAAGCTTTAAGCTTGCACAGCCTGCCTGCCTTCCAGGGGAGTCTCGGGTCGCACTGGCCCAGTGAACACCATGTGAGCTCTCTCGGGTGCACAGGCCGAGCCTGGTCTAATCCAGTCGCCGCTGTGAGCTCTTGGGATACACTGAGAAGGCGCCTTCGCTCCGCGGTTTGGGGGTGGTGCTCTTTTCTCTTGAGCTTGCAACCCTCTTCCCACGAACAGGAGTCTACACGATCCACAGCTCGCTCTAGTCTCAACCGCTGCCGCCGCAGAGTAGATCATAGTTGCTTGAGCAAGCCTTCCGCTGCTACCTCCACTGCGGATGGACGGCTTCGCGGCCAGGAGCAATGGAACCGGAGGAAGAGGGGAGGAAGAGGAGTGGGCTAGAGCAGCGGCGCCTGAGGTTGGGCTGCTGAAATCATGGTGCACACACTGGAGCCCCGTCCTCTGTCATCTCTGTGCTTAAGGTTCCCCGGCCACTTCCTCAGACACAGGATGTGGAGTCTCTGACTCCAACTCCAGCCAAGGGGAATTTAGATTCCAACGCAGGTTAAGAGCTGAGAGTTGTAGCAGCTGAGGCTGAACAATCCTCTGGATCTCAAACCGGGGCTGTGTCCCAGCCTTGTGAGCTATGCCCAGAAACAGCAAACTCCCACAGGTGAAGACAGCACTGCCATGTGTCTGCCATGAGTCTGAAGGTGGGAAAGGCAGGGGCCACTGAGCTCTGGGGTAGCCCTTTCCCAGCCTCCAGCGCCTCTGTTCTGGGCAGTGTTTAAAGCAGCCCCAGAGCCTTAAAAGGGATAAAAGGCCACCAGAAACATCTTCCCTAGGCAAGGCAGGGGTGGGGTGGGGGTCGCCCTGCAAGCAGTTACTTGGATAAATAGAAGCTTTCTGGAGTGGGTGGGCTGTAAGGTAGAAGACCTCAAAAACCTGACAAGGTGCCCTGGCCCCTTCTTCCCACTCTTGCTAGTGTTTGTGGAGTTTGGATGATTTCTTAAGGAGGTGCCCCACTACTGCCCTGCAGAATAGAAGCACACGTGGCGTGTGTGTGTGTGTGTGTGTGTGTGTGTGTGCGCGCGCGTGTGTTCTTGACTGCTTTCTCCAGCTGAGCATCAGTCTCAGCGAATGAGTGGCAGTAAGAGCTGGAAGGAAGCTTTAAAGGAGATTCGGGAAACAAACACTTCAGCCAGCTCCATCCTGAGAGAGGCCACGTAGCTGAAGTCTGAGGTATCAGGAGGGCAGGGCACTAGCTGATGCCAAGGCTGTTTTTCTCTGTACTTTCTGGGATACTAGCAGAGATGAGCTGGGTAGGAGTGATGTGGTTGGTAGTGTAGCGAATCAGAATAGGATTCAGAGCGAGAGAAGGAGAGAGAGAGAGAGAGAGAGAGATCCATGAAGTAAAGCAAACATGAAGTATGCGTGTGGTTGCCAAAACATTCCACTTCTGGGGCCACTAGTCTGTTCAATTTACCATCCCTGTTTTGAGTGCTGGACCACTTCTGTGTCCCAGGAATACTTTGTTTATGCAGACCTCTTGGTCAGCTGTCCCAGAGTGGGTTTGGAGAATTTGTTCTGAAACGGTAAGCAGCTATTTCTGCCTTCATTGATGCAGGCTGCTGTTAGATAAGGGGCTTCGTCTGCCCTTACGTGTGCTTTGCTTACATTCAGCCCACCTAGGCTGCAGATTTCTTCCCCCTAGTCTTACTCAGAGCTTACCCACTGTGTGTTTGTGTGACTGTGTGTGAGGCGAGTGTGTGTGGTCGTGGAGTGACAGTTCAGCTTTAGCAACAAGGTCTGGAAATGTTACTGTGGGACTTATAAGTACAGGGCGTGAGAACCGATTCCCCGACCCCTTTCTCTCCCAGAGAAGGGGGCACCTAGAATCTACATAATCGGTAGCCTTTAATGGCTGCCTTTGCATATTGGTCACAAGATAAATTCACCTTATTTATTTACTTAATTCTGAGACAGGGTCTCATTCTGCAGCCTGGACTAGCGTGGAACTTGAAGCAAGCGTCCTGCCTCAGCATTCTGAATGCTAGAGTTACCTATGAAAAGTTACCACCATGCCAGGCTTGAGGTAGGCGCCCTAGATTTTATTTTAGAGGAGGAGACAGGCACAAAGGTTAGGGAAATTAGTCAGGTGATACAGCTGATAGCTGGTGAAGCCAAAATTGAGATCCCAGCAGTTTAACTTCTCCGGCCCTGCTCTTAACCACGTGGTGCACACCAGGAAAGTAGGACTCAAAGTTAAGGAATGAGGGCCACCGAACCTTGGGACCACAGGGCGCAGCAGATACTGAGGCCTCCTATGCTGGAGCCCTGGCCACTGCGTGGCGCTGTTGAGGCAACCGTCCGCGGTCAGCCAGTTCCTACGCTCATCCAATCCGTTCCGGACCCTAGAAGTTAAAACGGGCTCAGCATGACCCAGAGAGGTATGTTTCTGGGTCCTAGAGGTAGAGAAGGGAGAAGGACTTAACAAGATGGGCAGGGATCCAGGCAGGAGAAAGAGCACGCTGGACCACCTTTCCGTGCGGCAGATAAAAAGGCAACACCGGCCCAGGGCTGAGGTTAAGTTTCAGCGGGGGAAGGTCTCTGAGGAAGATCTGTTGTAAGATCTCTCTAAATCCAGAAATTAAGAGCGGAGTTGTTAGACTCAGGAGCAACATCCAGGCAAACGCAGTTTCCGCAGGAAACGCACGGGGATCAAGAGAGACAAATACAGAGATCGAGATACTGGGACAAAATACCGAGCCCGGGAAGCCCGAGCTAAAGACCCGTAGGCGCGCAGAGAACGAGGCGTCTGCGGAGACAAGTCACTAGAAGGGAGCAAGCGGTCTTCCGGGGACAGGGGCGGGACGGGAGCCTTGGGGGAGAGACAGGACCACAGCAGACATCTCTCACCTCTCTGAGCGGGATCTGACGATGCCAAATTTGCTTCTCCAGATCACTCTCTCTTCTAACCAGCCGGAACCCCCTTGGACTCCAGTAGGTCCCGGTCTGCGGCGTCACGCTGGGAGGCTCGGTTCACTCGCGAGCTACCGGCGCTTCGGCCCCGGGTGGCCTGGGCGCCGCCTTGGGGAGATGGGGAGCCGAGGTTCGCAGCAGCTGCCACCAGCCGCCGCTGCGCCCGCGTAAGGCTCGACCCCCGGCGGCCGAGCCCCCCGAGAGGGGCTGGCTCCGGGGGGCCCGGAGTTGCGGGCGCTGCGGCGGGAGGATGACCCGCCTCCAGCCACGCGAGCCCAGCTCCCGCCACCGCGGCAGCTCGTTCCCGCCGGGCGGGCGTGCGGAGGACCTCTGCCCGCCCCCTTCCTCCCCGCCCCACCCTGCTCGGGGAGCTCCGCCCCGGGCCCGCGGTTCTTCCGCCTTCGGCGGCCACCAGGCGGGAGGGACCGGCCTCCCCGAGCCCCATTTCTGCCCCTCGGGGCCCGGGAGCCCGGATTGGGCTGGGTAACGGGTGCCGTCCCTGTTCCGCTCTCCCTGCGCCCAGCTCTCCGGTCCCCGGGGCGGCACCGGGGCGGGTGCGCCCTGCAGGGTCAGCGTGCGGGAGTCTGGACGCCAGGGGGCGCTGAGGAGCTGGGGGGGGACACCCCTCCCTGCCCGCCTTAGTCCCCCGCCCCCTCCCCGCCCGCGCGCAAAACACAGTCGTCCGAGAGGCAGCGCGGCGGAGCCGGAGCCGCGGCCGGAGCGGAGCCGGAGAGCGGCGGCGGCGGCACCATGACCCTGGGCAGCTGCTGCTGCGAGATCATGTCCTCCGAGAGCTCCCCGGCCGCGCTGTCCGAGCCCGACGCAGACATCGACGTGGTGGGCGGCGGCGGCGGCGGCGGGGGGGAGCTCGCAGCCCGCTCCGGGCCCCGCGCCCCCCGGGACTTGCACCCGCACGGCCGCGAGCCTCCCCGGGAGGAAGCCGAGGCCGACGTGGCCGAGGACGAGGAGGAGGAGTCGGGAGGCTGCTCGGACTGCGAGC